GAGTGGATTATCTCCATTGAACTACTGGGTGAGTTAGAACTGCCAACCTTTTAGTCAGAGTAGAGCCCTTAACCACACAGGGTCACTGTGAGTGTAAAATTGACATGACTACAAAATAAAAGTGATTTTTTTTTCAGTCATTACAACCAGGTAAATGACGTTGATTTAGAATAAAATGCAGTTAGGGTAAATGGTTTGAAGTTTCCAATCAATCTTTAACTTTCAGGGTTAGGAGTTACTTATATTTTTTTTCAAGCACTGCTTCTAGCAGAAAGAAGAAGGGGAAAAAAACTATAGACGAATCTATAGACTTGTTGGGCGAGAAATAAGCCTATAAAATAAAAATTTATGTACATCGATCATAAATTCGACAGTCTAAATCTCCCTTGAAATGCTTTTGGTTTTTAATAATGGATTATGGTATGGTCCCATAAATGATTTATGTTCAGATATTAAACAAACACTGCTTTGGATGATTAATTTTAAAATAGAATTTTTTCCTGTACCAAAGAATAGACATTTCCCCTGTATTTTCAGTTTATTTGGAGGAAGCAATATCAGCCTTATGGTTTTGAATTCATGATTATGTCTTTGTGGGAGCTTCTTTGGAAAGGAAAGCAAAAATAATAATTCAAAGACATCGTGCACAAAGCTCTTTACTTTTTAAAGGCCTACCTGACATTTAAACAATAAAATATTTAAATTGCGATCTGTATAAAATGAATGTCAAGAATAATCAATATATTCACGTTGAAACATTACACTTTTAAAATGGTCAGTTTCATTTAAATGGCAGCTCTTTATTATGTTTTATCTCTAAGTAATTATGATTTACAATATTGGCGATCCAGTTATTACAACTTATTTTTCTACATGTATAAAACCAATACAAATATTAGAATAAATGACCCACGCCATATTCATAAGAAATTTACAACTTCTAAATTTATTTATAAAACTATTAACAATAAAATGATATTTCACTTGACACTCCTAGACATAGCTCAGTCATAACAGCAGAAAAAAATGAATAACAGAGATTTTATTTTTCAAAATACTCATAATTGAATTTAACCTGGGTTTGACATAAACCATACATATTTAATGCCTAAAGAATAAACTGTTTAAGATCACTGCACTTTTTATTTTTCTGCCAAATACCCAGTCCTGTTTTACACTTTAAGAAACAAAACAGGGGGGAAAAAACAACAAAAACAAAACCCCAGTATGTGTTCTTTCAGAAAGTAAATGAGGTCTTTAAAAAATTATTTTCCAACCTCTGTTACCCTTAAAAACACAGATATCTGTTAATATTAGAAATAATTATACAAACATATTACATATTCAAATACAAACTCTAATTATACAAATATACTATACATTAAAAACTAATTATAAGTAATAGTTATAATGTACGACAAAATATTTCTGTTTTTTATATAACATCTAAAGTAAATAGCTATTAACCTGAATTCTTGACGATTCCCCATTAAATTGTAATTGCAAACTAACAAAATGAGAGGATCCGGGTCTGTGTAACTCTTTATTCTTATAATAATTGATTATTTCAGTGACACATCCTCATTTTTTTAAGCACAGTTATGAAAAGAGTTCACTTTAAGTTAATTGGTATCACCATGCAATAAGTTGCAGGAGTGTGTCGTTGGAACGTTGATCAGGTCCACATTAGATCTAATTGGGGAAAACTGTTATTAGAGTTCACAGAGATGAAGGCTATAGAAGAGAATTACATAAGAAATAAATGTGTGAAGTATGTGATACCAAGACTGAGCTATCTGATTTTCTTTTTAAGTACACACACACTCACATCCACAATATATGGCTAAAAAGGCTAAGATGATACTAAATTTTATTAGAAGGGATATTGAAAATTTTACAGAAAACACTTTTATCTATTCCATTTTATCAACATTTGTCTTCATCAATACTATTGGTATGTATCAATACCACATTACAAAAAATCCACAGAAAATTCACGAAATGAAAGGGTGTGCAATGGATTGTGCATATGAACAGAAAAAACAACAACAGAAAACAGAAAAGATTGAGTCAATAAAAATTGAGAGTAGATCATCCTCGAAATGCCCTAAAGATTTTACAGTTTTAGATATATTGTTAGAAAAGAAATCAGTTATATCTTGAAACTTAATTAGATAAACATAAGAAATACCTTTTCATAAATGTATAGGGATCATCATTGTTGAAATCATTAATATCTGAAATATATAAAAATTCAAGAAGGGTGTCTAGAAGTTTATGGATTGTACCTTTATATGAGATTATAAAGAATCTGGGATTAAAAAAATATATATCATTTAACTGCTTCAGTTTTGATATCATAGATTATGAACATAAAGTACCTTAAAATATGACAGAAAATGGTGAACAGTGTGCATCAGAAAAGTCTTCTTGTAATATGAAGATAATTTCTACTTAATTACCTTGTAATTTTAATTACTGCTTAGCTTTGTTTTTAATGTAAACACTTTACTTCTTAAATTCATTGTCCATGTTGTTTAGAAAAATATATTACCCAATCATTTAACATTTAAATTATCAGGAAAATTTATGTCTCTATTTTTGAAAATTATTTTTTTAAGTTTTATGATTCCACTCATAAAAATCACTGATTAAAGAACTGATGAAGTAAGACATTGTATATAGAGAATTTGCATCTGAATACTGCTAAGTATTCAAAAAAACATGCAATTATTTTCCTTTCTTTCCTGTTAAATCAGAAAACCTAGAATAATCATTTGAGGTGTGGGCAGACTTGAGGCGTGGAGGGGTGGTGCCTGCTTAGTGAGTGTCTTTGGTAGGGGTTCTTTTGAGGGAATGTACAGCCTTTTGACAACCCTAGTTGCACAGGCACCAGCCAGCATCGACTGCTTCCAGGTGGTGAAGGCTTTGCTCGTGGCGACTTAATACCAGGTAGGAAAAAAAGAAGTTGAGAGGCAATGACTGATGAATGTAACAGCTTGCTCTGTGATACCAAGAGAGACAATTACTGAACATGCAGTCTTGTGCTATAGTACAAGACAGAGTTTGAATATTCTCCATAAGGAGACAGTGAGAATGTCGACAAGAGCTTGGGTATTGGAGATTAATAAAGCTTCAGATTTCCCGGACCCAGCTCACCCAGGGGTGGGCTGCTGAGGGAGCCGCAAGGAGCTGTTGGGGCTCCTTTAGAGAAGCCTTGTCCTCACCAGCTCTGCTCCCGAGGGCCTCTGTGAGTCCAGAGGGAACCGAGTAGTCTTTCTTTTCGTGTCTGAAAAGAAAGGTCTACTTTTAATTACAGGCTCCTCCTAGCTTTGAGTCTTTTCGTTTCTGGGAGCAATTTAAAATGTTCCATTTGATAGACTAAATTAAAGCTGGGGCCCTCTGGAGTAAACGTGGAGAAGAATATAGCGATTTCCCCCATGTGAATCATATACCGTATGACGCGTTGTTTCAGAACCAGTTTTGTATTGTGCTTCCTTTAAAAAACTGTGCATCTGATCAGGCCCTGTGCCGTTTGCATGTGTTAAATGTTCAATACTCTGGATTAAAAAGGAGTAAATTTTTGGCTTTCAGATGTATGGTTTGTGGACATATAAGTAAGTCATGCAATGAGGGGGCTTCATAAAGTTTGTGGGAAAAATGGGATTGAAAAATAATGAAACATGTCATGATGTTTTTGAAGCCCTCTCATATTTTTCCTCCAGTGTTTAATGTTTAAATAATCTCCAAGATAGGGATATCAATAAGATAAATAAAATAAAATGGAAATATGGAAGATTTGTTGAATAGTAATAGTTCTAACATAAACAATTTGACATTTAAATATCCATACTAATCATATGACATTTAAATACAGATATAAACAATTTTGGAGATATTATAAAATAAATGCATCAAAATGTTTTCTCTTAGTTTTATAAATAATCGCAATTAGGCCCCAGAGCATCACCATGTGACAGAATAGACGTGTCCCACAAGGCTCCACCGGCCGTGTCAGAGCAGATTGCCAGGTCTATGGGTCACAGGTCTCCTGCAGTGCCACGGGACTTGCTCAATATGCCAACCTTGCACTTTACAAACAAGCACTTAATCTTTGCACTACCGGCCTTCCTTTACAGCCAGTACCAGTACTTAATAAGTGACTAGGATAGCAATTTAACTACACAATTATTTTAAATAGCTCATGCTGCCATACTTTTAATTTTTGGAATTATTCAGACTTGTCTATACTCCATATTCCTCTTTATCACTTTATATATTTTTTGAGACAACAGAATCCTTCTTCAAACTCAAGATCCTTTACTTACTGACATGTGCCTATGGTGATGCCATTGAATTGAACCAAGTGATTTGTTGTTGTTGTTGTTAAAGTTTGACTCATGATGTTTTAAGGCCTACATATAAATATATGTGTGTGCTGGTGATTTCTACTTAATTAATGTGAGTCCTTAGTCAGTTATATAGCTAACACTTTATAACATAGTTTATCTTGCTCGTAGAGGAATAGTTAAATAAATTAAATGGAAGGTTGTGTTTCAGCTCAGAATTTCTCTTTTCACAGAAGTAAGGTTTTGAATAATGCAAATGGCGTTTAAACTCACGTATCTGATGCTAAAGAGTCTCCCACACTGCAACATAACAATATATAGCTCTTTGAATTTATAATGCCATAAAAAAATCAACTTATGGCTTAAGAGTATATTATATCTCTGTAAACCCCTTCTGTCCACTTCAAGTAGGAGATGCTTAAGGAGCTGGGGACAATGAATAAATTCTAAACAAATGATTTAGAAATTCAGGTTTGATATACAAAAATTTAATTTTTTCGTTTCATTGAAATGTTTTGTAAACTCTAAAATGTGTATGTTGTCACAGAATTTTTTTAATAGCCTATAAATATAGTGATTTAGAGTTGATCTCTTCCATTACTTATTTCCCCCCAAATTATACCCTGGTAATTAGCTTATAATTTACCTTCTTCACAAGAAAGGAAGCCATTTTTTATGATTTCCAACCTGTTGAGTATTTACCAGTTTCTTATAAATCTCTGACTTTAAAAATCGAGGGAAAGAATCCTTGGCCATGAGACTATAGATTAATTTCTGAGCCTCATCAAAGCATTTGAGCGTTGGTTCTGCAATGTTCTTTGAGATGAGGTCCCTGGTACTGAAGTCAATGTTAATCTGTAGAAAAGAAGGTTGCATATTATAGGATTAGTTTAATCAATGAGCACGGTTTACACAGGTGAGAAACACACATGCTATTGGAATTTTTTTTCAAACACAAAGCTGATCTGATGCAAATCAGCTAAATGGTCATTCATCCACTCATTGTACAGACTGTAGAGTACATACTATTATTTAATTATGTCCTAGGTGGTTTAAAGGGCTGGCACTGACAGAGGACAGAGTTCAAGCATTATTTTTGAATTTTTTAATGGCAAAGTTAAAAAAGAACTTTGATCTTTATAGCTAAAATGCACTTTGCATAGGTCAAATTTTAACTTGAATTTACTAGGCTGATTTCCAGCACCCTATAGATAATCTCTATACCTTCATGTATGTTTCCTCCAACTTTGTGCTACTTTGTATTTCTTCTTGTTCACCCAAATAGTATGTATGTGCATGCACATATGCATGTGTGTATGTATCCATCCACCCACATATACATACATACATACATACATACATACATATATACATACATACATACACACACCTGTCCTTGCCCCATTGCTACTATTATGCCATATTTTGTATGCGCTGGAAACCACTACCTGCGATTATGCTAAATGTCCTAGACAGTCCTACAGGACAGTATCTCTTTAATTGACTAATTCTATCTACCATCTAAAATGTCTTCTGAAAAGCTGAAAAGTTTCTATTGAGGATAGCTAAGTTAAACTGAAAATATTGATGCACAAAAGAGATGTGAATCTTAAAGTTCACTGAGGTGGGTGCTCTGTTTGTCTTAGTCATCATTCTGTTTTCCAACACTTAGCAGAATACCTCGTATTATAATAGGCAGGCAGTACTTATTTGTTGAATAGAATGAAAAGAATCTCTTAGAAAATATGCTGGAATGTTGAGTGGTCAAAGAAACACCTGTTCAGCTGCATTGAATTGAGGATAGAAGATACGCCGGCGGAGCTGCAATTAAATCTCTCTTCAATATCTTGTTCATGTGTATATGACTCAAACAAATTCATCTTCAATTTCTTCCTTATACAGGTGAACAGTAATAGTTGCTCTCTAAAAGTGTTATTGTAAGTATGTATAAGATAAGGAATTTTAAGTATTATTAGTTTTGATTTAGGAATAATAATAGAAAAAAGAATCTTTTTTAGAAATGTGAAGCAAAGATCATCAAAAGACCAATATTGCTCATGAATATTTTCTTTCTTTAGTAATTCTAATTTCAGACTAAAGATTGGAATTTTATTATTTTGATTACCTTCTTTGTTCCCTTGTTAAAATTTGTGGCCATAACTCTTTTTATAAAAATTTAAGAATATAAGTTAAGTGTGAATTTATAATTCAGGTGTTAAAAAGATGTCACTTCCATTAGACGTCAGACAATGCTGGAAAATAGAAAGACTTCGGGGTTTCACTCATTTCAAACCTGTGCTCTATCACTTGTGACCTTGGGGGACTTGCCTTATGTGTCTGTTTATCCATCTTTAAACTTCTGATAGGTCTTGACTCAGACTTGTTAGAATGAAAACGAGATAATCCATAGGAGCCTCTATTCTGAGCCAACGTGTCGCTGAGTAGTCCAAATGGTTAAAAGCACTACTACTCCCACCCCAAATAGCTTTCTATCCACCCAGAACTGCTTTGAAGACAGGACTGGCAATCTGCTTCTGAGAGGTCAGAGTTTGACAACCTTTGGGGCAGGTGTACTCGGTACAAGTGCTGTTATTGTTAGGTGCTGTCCAGCGACTCTGAAGTCATAGTGTCCACACAGTCACAGACAAGCGTAGAAGGAGATGCTGCTGGGTCCTGCACCATCTCACAATTGTTAGGTTCGAACCATTGTTACAGTCACCATGCCCATATAGCTCCTTGAGGGTCTTCTTTGTTGGCTAACCCTCTACTTTACCAGGTAGGGAACAGTCTCTCCTGATAACATATCCAAAGTACATGAGATGAAGTCTTGCCATCCCCACTTCTAAGGAGCATTCTGGGTATATTTCTTCCAAAACAAACATGTCTGTATTCTGGCAGTTCAGGGCACTTCCCATATTCTTCAGCATCACCGTCATTCAAATACATTGATTCTCCTCATCTTACTTTTTAATTGTCCACCTTTCATACGCATCTGATGTGACTGAACATACGATGACTTGGGTCAGAACACCTTGGCCAGCTGATTTGTAATTGGTCATTTGAATTCTTAATGGTTGCTTTGCTGAACATTGAATGTGGAGCCAAAAAAGAAAACCCTTGTCATCGCTCCGTTCATCATGATGCCGTCTGTTGGTCTGGTTGTTAGGCTTTGATGACACTGCCTTTTCATTCACGCTGAAGGCGGCAGTCTGATTGTCATCAAGAAGCACTTCACGTCCCTCATTTTCAGCAAGCAAGACTGTGTCATCTGTCTATACCACAAGTAGTTAATAGCCTTCATCAAATCTTGATCACCCTGCCCAGCCCTTAGATTGTCTTCAGCATACAGATTGAGTAAGTATGGTGAAAGGATGCAAACCTGGTACACACCTTTTTCTTTTAATTATATCTCTTTGTTCTGTTTGGATGACTGCCACTTGGTCCATGTGCCGGTTCCACATGAGCACAAGTGTTCTTGAATCCATAATTTGTTATGGTCCACATATTTGAATGCTTTTACATAGTAAATAAAACAGAAATAAGCATCTGTCTGGTATACTCTATTTTTCAGCCAAGATCCATCTGACATTCGCAAAGATAATCCTTGTTCTGTGTCTTATTCTAGCAACTTTTTCGTGATGTCCTACTGCAATGATTTTTAAAATTTTACTTGCATGTGATATTGTGTTTGATAATTTCCACATTCTTTTGAATCACATTTCTTTGGAATAAACACATATATGAATCTCTAAGAGCTTGTTGAAACTTTAAAGTTGACATTTCCTCAATTCCTGGGGCCTTGTTTTTGCCGAATGCCTTCACTGCAGCTTCGAATTCGTTCTTCAATATCTTTGGTTCTCAATCATGTGCTACCTCTTGAAATGGTGACATGTCTGCTAGCTCTTTTCGGCACAGTACCTTTGTGTGTTCTTCCTATCTTCTTTTGGTGCTTCATGAATTATTCATTATTTTGCTGATAGAATCCTTCAACATTGCAATTTGAGGCTTGAAAATTTTCCTTATATATTCCAGCTAGTGTAATTCTAAGCCTCCCTTTTTAATAAAAGAAAATGGAGTTTTAACTGTACACACGAAGTCTCCATGAATCAGAATGGCAACTAACAGCAACATTTGCAGCCAAATGTCACTTATGTTTGGGAAATATATCCAACAAGTAAAGAAATAGTATTAGGATAAATTTAAACTAGGAAGATGATAAGCAACTCCTTCTTGCCAGATAAACATTCTGGCAGAAAAATCAACAAATGTCAAATCTCTGGGACCAGTCAGACTCTGCTGGCAAGTTGGAAGAGCAGTTATGATGGGAGATACAAGGTTAAAGGGCTAGGAAGGCAGGATCTATGATGGGGTTGGAAACGAAAGTGTAGCACAATTCCTGTAGATCTTATATGCTACTGTAAAGACTTCCTATTTTTCAAGAAAACACAATTGAAAGACAGTGAAGACGTTAAGAAGGAAAGTGGCACAATTTAGTGAATGGATCTGTTACTGTCCAGTGTGGTGCTTCTTAGTGGGAGTCAAGAAACAGTGGTGATTATCAAATCTCCGAGCTATTTTTATACATCTACCAAAGTGTTTCTCACAAGCCTTTGTGTTGTGATGATTTGATAACACAGGATCCTTATTTCCTTCTTTAACAGCAATTTTAGCTTTTTAACAACATCATTAGGCATCTATCTAACTTTGTATCCCCCATAACAGTAATTATAGTGATTTGCTTTTCTTATGCATTCATTGGATAAACTTTCCTTGACAATAATGAGAGCATGTTCTTTGTACATAATGATAGATTAATATTATTAGTAGTAGTAAGAGGAGAAATGTGTGATTAAACTGAACACCAGTGATAACTACTCTGTCCTATTTTAAAAGTCCAAACCCTTGGTTTTGCTACACAATGTGCCCCCCACCCCTACTTTTTTCTCCCTTCTCCTGTGCACTGGATTCCCATCAAGTTATGTTTCTTTACCTTAAATTCCTTGTATTTTCCCATCTGTGAATATCTTTTTATGCCATTAATCTAATTGAAAATCATTACCTAAGTCTTTCATAGTCCTTCAGGCTCCATTCAAATAACATATATCACAGGAAGTTTATTTGTGGAATTTTTTAAGACTCTCAATGGATTTTGCACTACTGATGTAACATTTACAGGCTGGGCATCCCTCACCGCCTTCCACAATATAAAAATTCAATAAATAATAATTGTACAAATAAAGTGCAAAAACTTTTCTGGATTTAATCCAAACAATGTTAAAACTTTAATGATGATTAACTCTTCTACTTCAGCGTATTAATATTGTTATTGAAGTATAATAAGTTTGTATTTCTGACTTATCCTTCTCATTTTTCTGATTTCTTTTGTGTTCTTACCAAGGAACTGTCAGCAGCAGCTATTGATAGTTAAATGATGAGCAGATGCACAGTTGCCAAGGGAAAATCCTATGATGTGCCTTAGCAATTCTGCTTAATGTCAATGGCAAAATATCACACCCACATGTTTGTATAAATCTCATGATTTTTCTCCCAATTGCTCAGCTCAAACATGTGACTCATCTCTGATACCTCTTTGTATCCCTGATCTCTTAATGTGTGTATGTATTGAATTCTGCTGTTCATTGGTAATTTCACAATGTCTTTTTTCATTCTCGTGCGTCCTCGTCAGGATAGACTTGGACAAGCCCTTATTACAACTACCTTTGATTCTGACTCATCACGACCCTGTGGGACATGGTCGAACTGTCACAGACACTTTCTAACAAGGCAATATTTACAGAAGGAAATAGTCACATTTCCTCCCACAGAGAATCTAATGTTTCAACTGCCAACCTTTT